ATTTTTGATATAGCAAAATAGATTCTTTCCATTTAATGGTTTTAAATAGAATTTATAAATTTTGCATTGGTTCCCATTGAAAATCAATGGAAATTTTTCCTATGTAAATATTAATGGAATTATTGTAAATGGAAACAATTATTTTTCCATTTATGCCAAATGGCTTTGAATGGAACTTACAAATCTTCCATTGATTCCCATTGAAGTTCAATGGAGATTTTTTCTACGGAAGGGAAAGAAATGGTTTCCTCACCTAATATTGTATATACATTTTTAATTAACACGGTGAGCTGAACAGCATACTAAAATTTCAAGTAAATCAATTGTTAAGTGCCCGTTTTGAATAACTAAGAATAAGTACCCAGTAAAGGCGGTTGTCGCTAACTATAACTAGCTATTAAGATAAGCCATGTTGTCACGAATGGTCAAATTTAATTCTCATTATTCTACTCCTACAACTTACCATCTAAAAAGGCATTTAGTATTTAAGAGCAGAGTCAATATTATAAAGTACTCTTTTGAAAATGGTGTAAAGACCGAAAGGACAGTCAAGAATTAAAATACAATTATGAAACAAACATAAGTCAATGTAATGTTAAATGTTTCGGCAAGTGATCATTGTATTTCCAATACAGAATAAAGTTCTTTTAAAAATAACCAGAAAAGTGAAATACACCCTAAAGAATTTTTTTGTAATACTACTACAATGAAAGTTTAAAATTTTTTGCAGATTACACATTCCTGAGAGCTGGCGTTTGTGGAGGTAAGATAGAAAGCAAATTTTGTGACTTTTATAAAAACGGTCAAAATTGATAATAGTTCTAAAAGTAAAATAAAGGATAAAGAAACGATAAACCCTTTTTAACAAAAAGGAGAAGCTTTTGTCTGTGACTTTTCTATGTATGTAAGTTTGTACAATCACTTAGCAAATATCTTTCTACCAACAGCAGATGAGTCAAAGGCTAGATCTAGCACCAACCAGTTTGCCGATGCACATTAGAAAAATAGTGACTTCAATGTACATCGAACAATACACGGTACGTAAACCAAATCATAAAAATTTTTACATTTCAAGACTCTAATTTTGCCAATAAACCAACTATAGTTCAGGAGTGAAGTTTGCGACGTTTCGACCGTCAGTTTCGGTCATCATCAGGCTTAACGAATACCATACCGTTCCTATCAGGTTTACAAATATGATATATAACCTCAAACTGAAAACATGTTGATTGTTGTTCACAGAATACGCGTAAGATGTGATAATTATTTTAGTAAACCTGATAGGAACAGTGTGATGTTCGTTAAGCCTGATGAAAACCGAAACTGACGGTCGAAACGCTGCACTGTAATAACTACAAGAACTCCTGAACTATTGTTGGTTTATTGGCAAAATTATAGTCTTGAAATGTAAAAATTATTACACAACAACCAACAAAATTAGATTCCTTTTTATACAGAAATCATAGAAAGTTATAACATTTCAAATAATTAGACTCCATTTCGTCGCCTTCTAGTAATAATAGAATAATCAAAACCAAAATAAATTTTGTGAGTTTTACCCTTTTTTGGCTCTGATTGTTCCGTTATCTTAAGTAATACCCGATCTAATATGCTTTTCTTATCTTACAGAGTTTTATAGAATTTTCGAAGACATACGCAAAGACTTCAATTATCTAGTACTAAGAGTTAATTTTAATTTGGATTTATAAGTTTTTTATATCAAATTTATTACATGTAATACTAGAACAGTTTACCTACTTGTTTTTTCATTTTCCTTCCTAATAAAAAATATTCATATGTTTCGTTGTTTAATTTCTTTAACATGTGTTTAAAGAAGAATCTGTTACCGTTTCTCAATAATTTAAACATCACAAAAGTATTTCAAAATGACATTGTCAAGTAAACCAATATGTTTTTAAAAATACTTAAATAAAAGGAGAATCCAGAATCGTTTTCTGATAAATATCGCCAATAAAATTCTGGCAAGGATATTGCTTTTCAAAATACCTACTTCATCACGATCATAAGGTCGTCAGTCCTAAGACTGGTTGGACACGTACCTCCACTCTTTCCTATTCTGAGCTAATCTTCGCATTTCCTTAAAACTTAAACAACCCACATCCTTAACTATTTTCGAACAATAATCTACTTCTACTCTTCTTAACCCCTGCTTCTGGCTCTAATATGTCCCTGACTTGACCTACATGCCTGAGAAGGTGTCCTACCAAAGTAGCGGTGACAATGTCCATCCCTGTCTGACTTCTTCTTCTTCTTTCGAATCCGGCCATCTAGGGACCACGGAAAACAACTATTCATGATTTTCTTTTCTCTCTTGCTCTTATCCTCCAGTAGTCCTTCATCCTTTCGCTTTGTTGCTTTCGTCTTTCTTCTGTCCATACACCTCCTGCCTTCTTCTTTAGCTTAGCTTGNATTGAATAAATTGACTGGGAAACGTAGTACAGTAGTAATGAATATCCAGCATTTAATTTAATCTCCAAACCAAATAAAATCTTATAACTGCAGTGCGCTATGATAATTTCGATTACGCAGTACCTACCTACCTATATATATTAGCATTTTTATCGTCAATAAAATATTAACTTGGGAAAAGACGACATCCAGTTTAATGCGTCATATCGGAAAAGTCCTTAAATCTAGACTAGGCGATACGTGAGATAAATAATTCACATTTTTCAATTGCTGCAAGACCATTCGCTGACAAATAAAATATCGAGATGATGTTCCTCTTTCGTAAAGAAAAGATAAACTATAAACCTTTTTTCAACAAAAATGAGAAGCTTTTGTCTGTGACTTTTCTATGTATGTAAGTTTGTACAATCACTTAGCAAATATCTTTCTACCAACAGCAGATGAGTCAAAGGCTAGATCTAGCACCAACCAGTTTGCCGATGCACATTAGAAAAATAATGATTTCAATGTACATGGAACAATACACGGTACGTAAACCAAATCATAAAAATTTTTACATTTCAAGACTCTAATTTTGCCAATAAATCAACAATTGTTCTGGAGTGAAGTTTTTATTTATTACAGGACGACGTCTCGACCGTCAGTTTCGGTCATCATCAGGCTTAACAAATATCACACTGTTCCTATTAGGTTTACAAATAACTGAAAACATGTTGATTGTTGTTCACAGAATACGCTTAAGATGTGATAATTATTTTAGTAAACAGGATAGGAACAGTCTGATATTTTTTGGCTCTAATTGTTCCGTTACCTTAAGTAATACCCGATCTAATATGCTTTTCTTATTTTACAGACTTTTATAAAATTTACGAAGATATACGCTATGACCTTTGGGTTTGAAGCCTCCTACAGCGGACAAGCGCGTCCTAGTCCGTTGTCTGTCATCTCATCGGTGGGTGCGTAAAATGCCGATCCACGCGTCGTGTAAAATGACCTTTGGGTTTGATGCCGTCTACAGCGGACAGGCGCGTCCTAGTCCGTTGTCTGTCATCTCATCGGTGGGTGCGTAAAATGCCGATCCACGCGTCGTGTAATATGACCTTTGGGTTTGAAGCCGCCTACAGCGGACAGGCGCGTCCTAGTCCGTTGTCTGTCATCTCATCGGTGGGTGCGTAAAATGCCGATCCACGCGTCGTGTAAAATGACCTTTGGGTTTGATGCGGCCTACAGCGGACAGGCGCGTCCTAGTCCGTTGTCTGTCATCTCTTACCACCATAATACAAATGAGATAAGTCATGTACATGCATACAATAGAATTTTCAAATTACATACTGTGAGAACCAACGAGTGGGAATTAACCTCCATATAGTGGAACTTAAGAGGAATAACAAAATGTCAGCAAGTAGTTTTTACCAAATTTATGATTATTTGCCCACTTTGTAGATCTATAACTGCATCACTTACCGACATTTTGCTAATAAAAAATGATTTGAATCTCTTATAATGTTCGAGATTTTTCCGGCTTACGAATTAATTACCAAATACCCGTTTTGAATACCTGAGAATGAAAACCCAGCGAAGCGGGTTGTCGCTAACTATAATATTGAAAGTTATTAAGAAAGGCCATGTGTCAAAAATAACAATATTTAATTTTCATTATTCTACTCTTACAATTTACCACCCAGGAGCGCATTTAGTATTACAGTTCTATGCTATAGGTTAGTATTTAATATGAGAACTCTTTATAAAATGGTACAAAATCAGTCCTTTGGTTAGTTAGTTTAGATGTGGGTTATGTTTGATTCTAATCGCCTAAATTAGGGAAAGAATTAACTTCCTTGCCTAATATTGTATATACATTCTTAATTAGCACGGTGAACTGAACAGCATACTAAAATTTCAAGAAAATCAATTGTTAAGTGCCCGTTTTGAATAACTGAGGATAAGTAAAGTAAAGGGGGTTGTCGCTGACTATAACATTGAAAGCTATTAAGAAAAGCCATGTTGTCACGAATGGTCAAATTTAATTCTCATCATTCTACTCCTACAACTTACCATCTAAAAAGGCATTTAGTATTTAAGAGCAGAATCAATATTATAAAGTGCTCTTTTGAAAATGGTGTAAAGACCGAAAGGACAGTCAAGAATTAAAACAATTATGAAACAAACATAAGTCAATGTAATGTTAAATCTTTCGCCAAGTGATCATTGTATTTCCAATACAGAATAAAGTGCTTTAAAAAGTTAAATACCTTCACCTAAGGAATTTTTTTGTAATACTACTACAATGAAAGCTTAATATTTCTTGCAGATTACAGATTCCTGAAACCTGGCGTTTGTGGAGGTAAGATAGAAAGCAAATTTTGTGACTTTTATAAAAACTGTAAAAATTGATAATAGTTCTAAAAGTAAAANCCCTCCTAACTCCCGTTTCTGCCTGTAATATGTCTCTGACTAGACCTTCATGCCTGAGAAGGTGTCCTACCAACCTATCTCTACTTCTATGGAGTCCTCTGTTCCCCTATTCTTTCTAATACCTCTTCATTCCTAACCTTCTCTATTCACGATATCATCATCATTCGCCTGTAACACTACATTTCGGACGATTTTAACTTTGTCTTTTCCGCTGCACCCACTGTCCATGTTTCGCACCCGTACAGCACCGCGCTCCAAAATATACACCCTTAACAATCTTTTTCGAATTTCTAAATTAACTGTTCGCGAGCATATAAGTTATTTGATGCGACTCGACCATGCGCTATTCTCTGCTTTACATCCCTGTTACTCTTTTCGTCCTGACTTATCTGACTTCCTAGATACCTAATATCAGCCACTTCTTCTAAACCTTCGTGTCCTATCTTTATATTCGCTGTTTCCTTACTTTCTCTTCCCTTGCATGCCAGTATTTTTGTTTTACTTTTATTTATTTTTACATAATACTGTTTCGTCAATACCGTTTTATTTAAAACTGTCTCTAAATCCTCCTTGCTATCTGCAAATATAAGCATATTAATTTTTGCTCCATCTATTCCTACAGTTGTACTGTCTTTAATGATGTTGATCGCGTTTTCGATGTATAGATTAAAAAGTAGCGGTGACAGTGTGCATCCCTCCCTGACTTCCTTCCTAATATTTATTTACGATAATTAGCAATATTGTTTTAATAATAAATGATCTGTTTTAATATACAAATAATACGTTGGCATATTGTAAGAGTTGAAGATGTCCTCAAATAGTTACGATTACTTATGACCCTAAGCAGTTATCGAAAAGCACCGTATAGTAACATAGGTCGGCTAGGTAAGGATGGGTTGCTGTAAATGACAAACCCAACCTATATTTAAACTAATCAAATAATCTTTTCTTTGGGTTTGGCATTTCTGTAATGAAAATACAGACATAGCACAATCTTATTATCTTAAGGAATAACAAAAGTATTGTTCGGTGACATAGGCCAGGTTAGGTTAAATTTGGTTATGGTACAAATGTACACAAAGTGAGTGTTGTCGTTGTTATTTATTTTTTTGATTTATCGAGCGTGTATTAACTTTATGGAATAGGTATTTTCTAATCAAGCAATTGAATAAATTGACTGGAAAACGTAGTACAGTAGTAATGAATATCCATCATTTAATTTATCTCCAAACCAAATAAAATCTTATAACTGCAGTGCGCTATGATAATTTCGATTACGCAGTACCTACCTACCTATATATATTAGCATTTTTATCGTCAATAAAATATTAACTTGGGAAAAGACGACATCCAGTTTAATGCGTCATATCGGAAAAGTCCTTAAATCTAGACTAGGCGATACGTGAGATAAATAATTCACATTTTTCAATTGCTGCAAGACCATTCGCTGACAAATAAAATATCGAGATGATGTTCCTCTTTCGAATTGCAGTTCGTGAGTACACACATCGGATTAATTGATAAAATATCTAGTATTGAAGTGCAGGGGACGAATTCGGCGAGTGTAATAAAGCCATTTGATAGATATAAAGTGTCAAGTTAAAGCGAATTCGTCCATAAAACGATTGTTGTGGAAAGCCAGCATTGGCGCCAGCTACATGGAGACAGAAAGTTTTATTCCCCAAAACGTGAATTTTTGGTTATTATATATGTTCCCCTTTTAATAGTTAACAAAGTTGTACATGGATTTAATCTATTCAATTATAATTACTTTTACTTTTGGATTAAAAACTTGACCTTGATCGGCAGTTCTATAAATTCATTCGCACAAGACGCATAAGGAGTACAGTACTCGCGCCCTAAAGTGGCACGAAAACAATAAATGTATCTAATATTTAATGGAAACGTTAAAGCTCACCATGGCCAATGAAAATCATTTCCTGCATTCACCGATCACAGCAATTATCAAGAAATCTCATCTCAAACTGTACATTACGAAAACGTTGACTGTTGTTAATCATGCGCACGCGCTCCGACGTGAGCTCAGTTCGACAGTTGACATTCTTATGCATCTTGTCAGACTTTTTGAATGGTAGGTACATAGTAATTTCCTACAGATGGCGTTCTCAAACGCGATGGCGTTATCATACGCGATTTGTAGTAATTTGTGCTTGATTATGTAAAGCAATTAAAAAGTTTTCACCACGACTTGCTTGAACATCTTCAATCATATATACAGGTTCTGAAATAAGCAGCAAGCCTGGAAACCAGGTGTAAAGCACCGTGGTTGGGGAACAAAAAAAAGAAAACCAGAGAACCTGGGTGTGAATTGGCAATGTGCAGTGATATTACGATAACATCAAAGCAGTTACATAGATAGGAGAACGGTTTGGAACGACTAATAATGAACTAAATATCAACAACTACGCTACTACTACACATAATAATTAGAAGCCTACCAAAGTTATTTGTGAGTCGCGCAAAAACGTTCGGCATTTAGCTTATTTAATTTAAAGCGATTATCTTACAGTCGTAAAAAACATTAATTAATAGTTAATCTTCACTGGCTTTTAATATATGAGTTTACTAATACAACTGCATTTAATAAAGTGAAGCGGATTTAGATATAGCGTCTAAGAAACTGTTTGTTTAGGTACTATTCTGCACTGACTTATGGCACTGACAACCTAACCTACTGTCAGTTACTTCGATTGTCTGCATACATACAAGCCTACAACATTAAAATAATTAAGAACTGCTTTAGGCCAGCTGTAACATAAACATTGTCAATCATACTTAATCTGGTTTATAACAAATACGAAATAATGCATGAGCCAAAAATGCAAAAGAAATACAATACAAATGCTGCTAATTATCAGCTGGTTGAATGCGGTGTTGCATTGTCGTGTTTCCTTACATGATCCAATTACGGTCAGACTGACCCTTGTCTGTCTTCCAAATAGCTTTTTCTAGTAAACTGAACTTTCGGATCATCAAACATTTACTTGTAGTGCCCTTTTGCCTCCTACAGGTTTATCACTTATTTCACAAATACCCTGTATATTTATTTTAAGGATTTGATATAAGTATTTTATTTCTTTGGTGGACCTGTTGTCATCAAAAGTTCTCGTAAAAACACTGGTTGCCTACCTTCCTATCCATAAAACAGATTCAGCATAGGTAGCCTTTTTAATAATGTTTCATTTACAAAAGCTTGTGAGCTTTAAATCTGTGAGCCATTACTGAAATCGATAATTCGGTAATTATTTAACAGTTCACGTTTTGGCATACAAAACTATCGGTCAGTATCTAGCTTGCGCCAATGCTAGTTTCCGCAGCAATCGTTTTATGGAAGAATTTACCAGGTAAATGATAGACATTTTATCAATTATT